AATCCCAGCACTTTGGGAGGCCAAGGCAGGTGGATCACAAGGTCAGAGTTCAAGACCAGCCTGACCAACATAGAGAAACTCTGTCTCTACTAAAAATAAGAAAATTAGCTGGGCATGGTGGTGCATGCCTGTAATCCCAACTATTTGGGAGGCTGAGGCAGGAGAATTGCTTGAACCTGGGAGGGGGAGGTTGCAATGAGCCGAGACTGCGCCATTGCACTCCAGCCTGGGCGACAGAGCAAGAATCTGCCTCAAAAAAAAAAAGAAAAGAAAAAGAAAGAAAGGGCTGGTGTCACGCAGTTGTGATGGAGGGAGGTAAACACAGGCCAACTGTGGCCATGGGCAGAGCTCCTGTGCCCCCAGAGCCTGGCCTACGCCACAGCAAATGCCATTTGCAGTATTTGCTATTCCAGCACCCACCTGAGATGTGAGGACACAGGCTGGAGCATGGCCAAGTGTGTGGGCCTTCAGAACTGCCAGCTCGTTAATGCCTGGGAGCGCCCCGGAGCGCCCTGCAGCCTGGCCCTTGATGGACCAAGTCCAACTCCCAAACTCAGAGGCAGAATGGCAGAGGCATGGGCCCTAGAGTCCCTGGGTTCAAACGCAACCCCAGCAACTGATAGCGTGGGTATCTTGGCAGCCTTTCCCTTCCTGGCCTCAGTTTCCTACCTGGAGAGCAGGGGTAACTGGAAGAGTTTCTGGTTGGATTCACTGAGATGGCCACGCACAGTCTGCAGGAAGCACCCACTACTTTGAGGCCTCACAGGTCTGGCCAGGCTCCGACACTGCCAGCTTCTCTCCTTTCCTGATGAGCAGCTCAGAGCAAGGGCCCAAAGGACCCCCCTCCTGGCCGCCCTGTCCTCCCTGCCCACGGCACCCTCCACGGCTAGTATTTATCACATCACCTGGTAATTACCTGCAGTGTCTGGGAGCTCCAAGAGTGGGGTGGGGGTGGAGGAAGGCTGTCCATGCCTCAGCCCCGACACCATCCCACGGCCTGGTCTCTGGGAGAGCCAACCCGTTCCTGTCTCAAGGCCTCCATGGTGGCACGCCCAAGCCCACCAGTTCACCCACAGCCCCCTGTGACTTCACTGGTGCCGGAACTGCCCAGCCCTTTCCATGCATGCCATGCTGTCACCTGGGCTTTTGGGGACCTCCCTCCGCCTCTTAGCGGCACCTTCTGGACCTCCTTCACTTCTTGGATGCTGGGCTCAGGACTGCTCTCACTGATCAGTCTGTGCCTCACTGACTAACACTTCAGACACACCAGGTGGACGTACCCAAGCGTGGGCTAAGCAGCTTCCTCCCCAGACTTCCAACCTGCGGCAGGGCAGCCAGAGTCTAGCCCGGGGCGGCCGCCCCACGGCAGGACTGGCCTGACCTTTAATGGACCAAGTCCAACTCCCAAACTCAGAGGCAGGATGGCAGAGGCATAGGCCCTAGAGTCCCTGGGTTCAAACGCAACCCCAGCCACAGATAGTGTGGGTATCTTGGCAGCCCAAGATGGCCACGAACAGTCTATAGGACTTGGCAGCCCAAGATACCCACGCTATCAGTGGTCCTGTCCAGCTGCTCCTGCCTCTACACCCCGTTCCCAGCCTCACCTGACGGCCAGCCCCCATGGGCCAGTCCTCTCACCGGGAGACTCCCAATCACAGGTCCCAGCCCCTCTGCTGTTTCCCTACTGCCCTGTGCTCAGCATACAAATCTGAGCATGCTCCTCCCTCACTGGGAAAAAAAAACACTCCAAAGGTCCCCCTTGTCCTAGCTTGCTGGCGCTTGTCCTTTTCTCTCTCTCTTTTTTTTGGGGGGGAAGCACCTGGATATGAACTGTTCTTCCGTCTTGCTCCTTCCTGGTCTTTGTGACTTTGCACTGCCTCCATTGTCGCGGCCTGAGGCACTCTTCAGACCCCAACCACAATGCCACCTCCTCCTGAAGCCCTCCAGCACTGTACCCTACTTGGCAGGCCAGCTGCTACTGCTGCCTCCTCCACAGTATCCACCGTGCCCAACAATCTTCGATGAATGGATGGATGCCAGCTGTCAGGTGGTAGCTGTTTTTACTAAAATGCATCTTCTAGGACTTTACACGGAATCTACCTAGCCACCTGACAGCTAGCCTCTCTAATCTTGTAATCCCAGCACTATGGGAGGATGAGG